ATTGCTTTGGAAGTGAATAGTTGAACTTTATATAGATTTGATCCTTTTTCCCAGATATTACTTTTAGGTTAAGTAATTGCAACCATGGACTTTGGAATTAACAGTCTTGGCTGTGTGCTATGTGGCCATATGTAAGTTGCTAATTGCTTTAAGATTCTGTTTACCCCTCCAAAATGGAGATAATAATAGCACCTTTGCCACAAAGGTAATCAGAGTATATAATAATATCTATAAGTATCTTAAGTATTTCTTATGTGATAATTTTTCAAAACTAACAAATAAGTAAGAGGGCTGGGGATTTAGCTCAGTGGTTCTCCTGCCTGCCTCACAAGGGCAAGGACTTGAGTTCGATCCCTGTTATCCGCCTCCAAAAAATAAGAATAATGAGAAAAATGTAAGCCCTTCTGGCCCATCTATAACTATATACTAGGAGGGAAAGTAATGTTTGAGTGTTAGTAGACGGTATTCCAATCCATGGCCAAGAAATGCTTGGAACACACCTTCCCACTCATACCTCTTGATAGGAAGAGATGTATGGAAGGCAAATAGCTACATAGGAGAAAATATTCTGTCATAGAATGCAAAAACCTTTTCACATGAGTGTTACTGAACAATGATTCAATCAGAAAGCAGGATTTAGACCTTAATGCTTATGTGAAAATTTCCACTTCTCTGATAGTCAGATCTCATCACTGTAATAAATACCTGAAATGAATTTTGAAAAAGTTTTATTTTTGGATCACATTTTTCTAGGTTCCAGTAATTTTTGGTTGGCACATTGCTTTGGCCCTATGGAAGTACATTGTGGAGAAACTGTGTAGCTCATGGCTGGGGAGTAGATGGGAGAGGAGCAGGCCAGGGTCCCACTATCCCTTTTGAGGGCACACCCCTAATGACCCAAGGAGCTCTCAGTAGGCTCCACTTCTTAGAGTCCACCACCTCCCCAGAGTGCAAGATGGGAACAAGCCTTTAGCACATAAGCCTTTAGAAGATACTTATGATCTAAATTCTTCCAACTTCTTAACCTATTGACTCACGGTAGTGTTTGACAGAGGACCTAAAGGTGCTGGCAGAGATGTGAAGCAGAAGACAGAAATTTGGCCCAGTTCAAGACAGTGGCCCAGTGTGAGAGCTCAGGCAGGAAGGAAAATGCTGCAGAGACTATCTTCAGACCAAATTTCAGTGAATGCTGCTGTGCAGTGTCATCTAGCAAAAAGTCAGCTGCATGAAAACATTACTGTGTGTCCTCATTGACCTTACCCACTGGATCTGGTGCCTTACGACTCCTGGCTCTTCCACAAAGTCAGAATGATCATGAACAGTAAACATTTTGAATCAGCTCAAGACATGGAGGCAGCCATGACAATGCAACGAAAGACAGGAAGGAGATCTTCCATGAAGTAGCAAGAGTGAAGGGATAAGTGTGTTTCAAGCACAAGAGAGTGTTTTGAGGGGCCATTAATAATAATGTCTTTTACTGTAATCAATTATAAAAAACTTAAACATTCACATATTTTTCAATCATACCTCATACTAAATATTATTTGTTTTGTTTTTTTTTTCTGAAATGCAAAGTTGACTGGGCAACCTCAACTTTAATCTAACTACTTTGTTTTCAATAGTTTTAAAGATAAATTCGGTGATACAAAGGCTTCTGAGTTAGGAATTTCCAACTTTACATTATTGATATTTGGCTATTCCTTTATTGTGATATGTTGTTCTGTTCATGGTAGGATATTGAGCAACATATGTGGCCTCTATTTAGTTGTAACCATATCCTCTTCATTGTGATAGCCAATTATATTTCCAGATTTGCAAAATGGGTAAAGGGGCCAAAATCAGTTGAGAACAACTGATTTAGAAGTAGTGGCAAAAACAGAACTGCATAGCATATTAAGATGGTAGACCAGAAGGCAGCACTTTTATCCAAATAATGAGGAAGGTTCTGCTCCCTGTCCCCACCCTGCCCCCTCCTAGGCTCCTTCCCTGTACTGTGAGAAGCTCTCTAGACCTCTTTTTTGAGGCTCACAATAATATCATTTTAGATCCCCGCTGTTTTTATTTCCTAGAAAATCATCCAATTCTTTATTCCCTGGCCTTTCCACACACAGTATGCATGAAACTACATATGGTAAGTATATGGCTTTTACTCAGATCTTCTCTTCAGAGAAAATCCAGCAATTAAACCAAATGTTTGCATTTCATCTGAAGCCATTTAATTCCTATGGCCTGAAGAAATTTAGCATTTGATGGGCAAAACATTCATAGTCAAAATATCTTACTTAAGTGTGCATTGCATTTCTTTGGATCCTGAATGTCCTCCGTGGGTCCATGTGTTAAAGGCTTGGTCCCCAGCATGGTGCTAATTGACAGGTGGTGGCCTTTAAGAGGTGGACCCATAGTGGAGATCTTATTGAGGGTGTTTCCTTGAAAGGGACTGTGACACCCGAGTTCCATCTTCTTTCCTTACTTTAGTTCTCAACTATGAAGTGATTTTATTCCACCATATGCTTTCTGCCAGTATGCACTGCCTTCCCATAGGCCCAGAAAGCAATGGGGCAAACAGATAATGGAATACAAACCTCTGAAATTTGAGCCAAGATAATTGTTTTCCTCTTATAAGGTGACTATCTCAGGTATTTGCTGTACTGTAGTGACAGGAAACTGATACATCACAGTATGTGTTACTCTTTTCCTCCAATTTATAGGGTGAGAAACTGGCATCGGGCAATGAAATCTGTCCTTCAGCCATTTCCCACCTACACATTTATCCTTGAAGAAAAATGCTGAACTGCTGTCATACAATGTTTCCTGTTTGTAAAGTTTCCTTGCGTGAATATATATTCTTACTCCCTTGGGGTGCGGTGGGGGGGGTGCTCTGGTGACTTGGCAAGCTCTATGAACTTTGATTGTCCAGTGTTGATAATCAATTTGGTAATCCTGTCAGCACATGTAGTGGGAAGATTTCACTGGCAAGTTAAATGTAACTTTGTTTCTACATTGCTTTCCATATTTTGTTGGCTTTTAGGAATAAAATGGTTTGGTAAAAATTCGCTGAGCAAAGACAGTGTAACTATATGGGTGTATTGCTCTGAGGAAAAAAAAAATTGCCCTCCATTCTCTGTAAAGCTTGTACATTCTCAGCTCTCTTTCATACTAGCATGGTTCCTTAAATCAGAGTGGTCCATTCACCAAGCAGCCCCACCTTAGAGCACAACGTTATCTTTATTTGTAATCACAGGCCTTCATCACTGCATAAAATACCTGAACCCTCTCAGATCCTGATATTTGTATTTAATCAATAACCACGTCCTTTTTTGATCTGTCTTTCCCGTGTGATTGTATGTTCCCAGCTGTGCATGTTTTATTGTGTAAGAATTCAATTGAAACAGCCATTCAGGTTTGCAAAAAGGATGATGTTTTATTATTGGTTATAAAGAAAAGAAATTTCACACTTTATATAACCGACCCTTTCTGTTATAGCATGGTGAATTCTGAAAGTGAGGAGCAAGTTAACAAACCGTGGAAAGCAAGGCCACAGAAAGATCTTGGAGTATTCTGACCACAGTATGAAAAGAGACCTGGTGATTTTTATGTCTGTAATTGACAAGCATTCAATTCAAATTTGAAACGCACAATTTTTGCTTAATTTGACAGTGTGGGTAGATTAGAAAGAATAAGGGGCTAATGATCAAAATATTCACTACCCATATGGCCTGGCCTGATCAATGACGCCAGTTACCATATTACTGGGATAGGGTCTTGGGCAGGTCATTGCCTGGGGCCTTCTTTTCCTCTTGTGAAGTATGAGAACACTAGATAAGAATTGCCTTAGCTTCCCTTCCTGTTCAACAGATTTTCTTTCTTTTCTTTTTTTTTTTTTTAGCCTGTAAGTTCTATGCACAGAACGTAGAGATTGAGCATCCAAAAGGCAGAGAGGCTGCAGTGCTTCAGGAGAGGTGGGAGGCTCTCTCATGCTCTGTGGCTTGTGAACAACATGATCATCAAAAAGAAGTGAAGCTGGCATTAACCATGGTTGCACGAGGCTGTCAGTAACAAGTCAAGAGCAGCTAACTACCTGCTAGAGGCAGCATTTAAAAAATTCAAGATTAATAGTTTTCAGTGTTAGGGGAATTCCTTAAGAATTAGAAAAATGTCCTAGTTTACTACAGAAATAAAACACGTGTATTGGCCCGAAATTACCCAAGTTGGGAAAAAAACAGGTATTTTGGAGTTTGTTGTTATTGTTTTTCCTAAATCACAAAAATCTGTCTCAACTCTCCCTTTTCTTTTCTCTTCTTGGTTTGGTTAATGATACCATTCTGCTGTTTATATTTAGTGAATGTATGAGTTATCTCCATGGGAAGACATAAACGCAAATTAATGAGAAATTTACTTCCCTTGTAGCTATACAATCAAGTCTATAGAAAAGAAAGAAAATTCCAAAGTAGCTGCAATCTAGATATGTTTTCTATGTGCACTGTTGTTTTAATTTATTTGAATTAAAAATCATTTTACAGCTCATAGCACATCTTTTTCAAAAATGTATCATAGGCACAGAGAAGTGCTTAATGTTAATTATTAATTACTTTTTATTGGGAAAAAATTATGACTGTGACTTCTGAAGAGCACGCTGTATTATGAAATTTGGAATTGAATAAGAACCTGTGTGTATATTTATTTTAGATGTCTACACAAGCAATAGTTTAGTAAAATGAACTGCTTCTGTTTTAATATCCTGTTGCTTAATGTACCTGACAAATAGAAATGAGGGAAATGAAGAATTGTCAGAGATCATTTTCTTGAAACTTGCACATTATTCCCGTTTATGCTTATTAGAATAAAGAGCCTTTCTGTAAGAGATTAAGAACATGTATAACCTGTTATGACATAGTCATAGATATATAATAATACAGTCTAGAATTATAGTAATCTTTTAAAGTATACCAGATTCAAAATTCACTGGAGATGTTTTAGAGACATCTGTTGTAATTACAGGAACATGGTTTCTAATTCATTTAATTCCCTTTCCTACCCAAACTGTACATATAAGTGAATTTTAAGAGACTGTTGAAATAAAATTTTAATTACAAAACGATGTTACACAATACATTATTAATAATAACCAACAATGCGTAATGTTTATGCATGAGTCCATTAGAAAGATGAGCTAATGTGTGTCAATTCTAAAACAAAGCAGTCGTTTGGCCTGAATTTGTGAACAAGGTTGAGTCCCTGATGCAAGCTGAGGAATTCAAGGGTACCAAGCGTTTTAACATGCTGTTTTATAGTCAGGAGACATCTTGTACCTGTGGCATTTAAGGGGTACTTAAGATTTGTTCATCATGGATGATCAAGAATCTTATTTTTTAGTGAGCCATGCGGTTGTGAAATTTGGAGGGACATCACTGAGTTGACGATGCTAACCTTCCCAGACCGGTGCAGAATGAAATGGCCCAGAGCATCCCAGAAGTGTGTACCATCCTTGCATTTTGGCACATGGAAATCTCGGCCTTGTGGTGGTGGAATTTCCCACCGTGGCCAAAAGGACTGCCGGTGCGTGGTGCCTTCATCACGTCAGTGGTAGCAGATTTCTGAGATCTCCATGGCCAGCTCCAGGCACTCGCTGGTCTCGTGGCACGGTTCACACAGGCTGCAGTCTGCGTCACAGTGGCAGCCGCAGTCGCTGCAGGAGCGGCTCTCGTCTGACGTGTGGTGGTACCTGTGATAGGGGCAGCACAGGCTGACACACATGGTTTCACACGTGTCAGGGAGCATCAGGAGACAGTCCCAAAACTGGCAGAACAGACAGGTGAGGATTAAGGAGGCGCATTCCCCTGCATAAGGAAGAAGAAGCAATTATGATGCGTTCACCAGTTTTTAAACAATGTTTAAAGAAGTGGAATTGTTAACTGCCCTGATCTGACCATTATGCATTTCATACAGGTATGGAAGTATCGCATTATGCCCCGTAAAATACGTACAATTAAAAATAATTGTGATACGGGAGCAAAAATATAGTAAAATGAAGAATAAAGAAAATTAATAGTAGCATGTGGGGCTATGCATGGGAGCATGCAGGTGTGGAGCTGTACTGATGACTTTATAGCCAGCTCTTAATTATTTATCCCCATTAGGGGTAATGTGCACCGTTAGTCTTTCAAGCTTCCCACCCTGTGCCACCACTCTCTCCCCTTAAGTAATTGTTTTATTAACTTCCTGAGTATTTCCTATCGATTCCATGTAATCTACTTACTTAAAGTGCTGACACTTTTCTAAACCCCTTTATTTACTCTGCCTGCAGAGGTTCAGGGAAGACACACAATTATCAGCCAATCTGAAAACTTGGCAACTGTCTGAAAAATAGCAAGGCCCCCCCAAATACAGGGGCCGCAGGAGCGATTAGGGTTGGGGACAGAGACAGACTACAGACATGCTTCTTGTTACCAGGCTTTGTTACTTGACTGAGTCTCATAAATCTACCACACCCATGTTCAAATATAAGCGAAAAGCACATTTCAAAACTTAATATAAATGCTTTTTAAAATAATCACAGCTTTTTGGGTTGTGTTTTATTTTTGATTCCTGTCTCCATTTTTCTCTAGTTATGCAAAGCCTTGATTTTATATTCAAGTTGTTTAAGTGAAATACGTCATCATATGCCTAAAAGGTTTTAAATCTTATCAGTCCTCTTTAAGAAAAGTGATTTAAAAATTTACTATGCAGACTTGTAAAAATCTGGAAAGTATCTCAAAGGCATTGAAGGTAATTGGTAATTCTAGCCAAGCAGCTGTGATGGGTTATAGATTATTATATTTTTTTTGCTTCCATAAAGGGAATTAGCTAGAAGATGTAGCAGTTCTCCTGTTAAAATTATAACCTATTCATGTTTAAAAAGTCTCCAAACTATATGCGTGTTTTTGTAAAAGTGTAGGTAAGTGTTCGGCCTTGTTGATTATGCCCAATGATATGTCCTCCAATTAATTAAAATTAGTGATCTGAAAGACTGTTGATGGTTGAAAGTAACATTCTAGCATGAATGGGAGGGAAATTTCCCCTCCAGATGGGCTTATCAATTGATCAAAGTTTGCCTTTCGTGAGGATCTATTTTTCCCAGTAAGGATGCTGATTATTTTAGTTTCCATCTTCAGTCAGTGCAGACTGTGCAAGCATGCAGAGACTGTCCCCTGTACATCACATGCTCCAGTCTGAGTGATCTTCTAGCCCCACTCACTTTCTTCCAACAGTATTCCAGAAAATGTCTTTTCTTTCATTGTTCACATGTTTGACAATCTTTAAAAGAAAGGAAACCTCAGAAGGTACCCAGGAAAGAAACAATTTTGAAGAAAACTTTTAATTTATTGAAAAACACTGTAAAGTTCTAAAGTGAATCCTGAATTTAGGTAAAGAGAAATCTTCCTTGCTTTTTCCTTCCCTGTCTCCCTCCCTCTCTTTCTTCTCACTAAGATCATGGTAAAAAAAATATGCCATGACTGTACGACTACTCTAATTGCCGTATATTGTTGCAGGTGCTGTGGTCATTACTCAGTATTTATAGTTTAGGCAGCATGCTTCACAATACCTCTGTGGGGTACGTACTCATCTCTTTGCCAGACTGGGTGTATTTTTACTCCCTGAACGCCAGCTTCCAGCATATGGCCAACTCGCTCATATCTCATAAGTCACCACAAACCACCCACAAAAATTCAGGAGTACGTTAGTAATAGTACATAGACTGTATTTTGCCTAGCCTTTTCTGAAGAGGGCATGTTGGTGGTCAAAAATGTGGGGCATACAACCTCATCGAGTTTTACCAGTGCCAAGACTGCTACTATAGCAGCCCCTGGCAAAGAAGAAGTTCTCAGTAGAAAATAATTCCAAACCAATACTCTGTGATCCCTTGGGCTATGGGCTCAAGAAACTGAGGCTCGTGACCATATAAAAATGAACCTTTTGGATTCTATCCTTTACACACGCAAGGCTGTAAGTTTCATTTGGAGATAGAGTAGGGTAGGGAGATAGGGCAGGGTAGGGAGCGGGGTGAGTATAAGGATAGGAGCTGGTGTTTCTCACTAGAGTGTGAAGAAACTTTTTGTAAAATCATCTTATAATTCCCTGAGGGCATGCAGCCTTGAGATCCAGTTGCACTTCCAGCTTCTCAGATTGGCAGACTCTGGAGGTCTCTGCTTCTTCGGATGTGTACCGCAGCTTTTATTTACAAAAGAAGAAAAAGGTTTTGGCCTAATTCTTTGGCCAAGTTGGCATTTGCGACCCTCCACCTCTCTGTTTTGCTCCTGAGAGTAGAGCCCCCACTTTTCTGTTTCTAAATCAGTCCTTTTTATTTGGTTATAAAAGGCAGAGCCGCTTGCCCCCCTGAAAACATGGTAACATTAATGAATTGAAAGCAGATTTTTCCAAACTTTCAAGTGTGTTCCATACTTTTCTTGAAAGGTGTATTAAATAAATCGACATGAGCAGGCAAAATTGTTTTTGCCTATGCCCAATTTTTGTTTGCGCAAAAGTAACAAGCATTGGACTTCCTCTCCTCCTGAGTGAATATATTTGCTGAACATCATTCCCAGGGCTATAATATTTAATAAACATGATGTTCTATGATTAGCATCCCTTCTCTTGGCCCATCCCAAAGGGTACGCATGCACGCAGTTGCCTGCTTCATGTCTCTTTTGCACTGCCTGCAAAGTATCTCACCAAGGCTAAATTGGACTTGGGACCTTCTCCTCTTTCCCACACATGTGTCAGTCCTATAGTTTTCCCTTATGAGTGGCTCCTGAACACACAAATGCATTCATTGGACAGCTGCAAATCGGTTTTTGTCATTTTCCTTTTCTCATAGCCCTCCCCACCTAGCTCCTCCCTGCATCCTGTAGATTCAAGCCTGGAATCCACCCGCAGAGCCACCATGGTTCTGATTCCCATCTGCTGATGTCCGAACCACAGCAGGAGCGTCCTGTTGAGGACATTCTGCTTCCAATTCATCCCTTCTTGGGTATTTTTCATCTTAAATTAGAATGACTTATTTTTCCTTCTAGTCTTGATTCCCTGGTCTAGGCTATCGGCCTGGGCTCATGCCGCTTTCTCTGACTTCTGAACCCACTTTGTTCCTTGCTGTGCTATGGCTGCACTGGCTGAATTTCGGTATTTAGAATGAATCTAGCTCACAACCTGTGCATATATTGTACCTCCTGTGCATATTGCACCCCCTTCCCCCAGCTTCCCCCAACTCCTATTGAGACTTTTTGGTCTCTTGTTTAAAACACCTTCTCTCTAAATCATATCATTGCTGAAACTCTTACAGCACCCTGCTTTATTTTTCTTCTTCATAACATGGACCACAGGATGGTATTAACTTACCTAGTTTCTCCTCCATTAGAATCTAAGTTACAGGAGGTAGAAAGCCATATCTCTTGCTGAATGAATAAATCAGTGATTGTCTCAAAGAGGTAAATATGTTTCATGATCCCTAGTTTTAGATGAAATACTAGGTTTCAGAGCCTGTCACTGAGTCCTCCCCACCATAAAGTGGTAGAGTAGGTATTCACATCTCATTCTTTCTGGATCCAAAGCCTGGATCCAAACACCCTCTGTTCTACTGATCTGTGTGTTCTTAACTAACGGAAAGCCATCCTGCAGTCCCTCATACTATGTGCCTCTCATACAAGTCTCAAAATGATACTCAGTGATACTGCTATCATTCCTATTTATAGATGAGACTGTGGCTCAGAGTTTAAGAGGCATCCCTCCAAGAAACACAGTAAGTGGACCCAGACTGTCTCATCCAGACTTTTGAATAATGAAGTTGGCCTGCTGTCTGTAACACACTTATATTCTCTTCTTGCCCATTGTGAATATGGTGCAAGACCCTGGTGACTTACTTAAGGTCTGCTTTCCTTTCCTTTCCCTGCTTTGGTCTTGCACCGATCTAGATTCTGGAGGCTTGACAAAATCCATTTCTTCAGATTCCCTTACTGGTTTCTGGCTGAGCTAGCAAGAGGAGCCAGGAGGCTGGGAAGCTCAGCCTGGTTCTCCTGATGTCTTCCTGCAGTCTTACGTGGTGTCCAGTTCATCTATTTATATGCCTGGACATCTCTTTCCCTATGGCTCTGGATAATGGCAGTCACTGGTGATCTGTCTAGGAATGGTTACTGGTTAGTGGTTTAAAGCCATTACCAGTAGCAGCGGTCTATTTGTGCTCTGGAAGCAAACAGGGAAGCAGGATAGACTCTTCTTGTGGTCGCTAAGTTCTGGGTTGCCTTACTGTTCATGGTACTTGGCTTTTCAGCTCTTCTAGCACTTTTAGGACAAGTTCCTTGCACAGGAAGTCCTCTGTTGGGCACCTGGCACCTTGGCAGTGGCTCTAATCTCTGATGTCAGAGTGTACATCTGGCTTTTCCACTTATTAAATCTGGCATAAAGGTGGTTTGAGGTGGATTGGAGATCTGGATTCCACTGAACCCAAAGTGATATTTGTCTGTGATCAAGAGGCTAGGACAAAATCCCCTAGGTTTGCTTCATTCCCTATTTATATTCCTGTGGTATTTTTAGGATACTAGGATGGTAATGTGCTAAGTGGTGATACCCTAATGATACTGAAGAATTAATGCAGTTTCCAGAGGTGATAAATGTATACCTGGGGATTGGCTAATTAACAGGGAGAACCTGTCTAATGAGAAAGAACCATGTTTAATTATGATAGAACAGATAACAATGCAAGGGAATTCCACAAACATACCCGAGGTACACCTCATGGTCACAAGTCTGTATTTCTTGAGCCCCCACCTCTCCTCCAGCTTTCTGGCTTACTACCATGATGCCCACTCATGAGTAGGAAGAAGAGAGACAAGAGGCATCTAGAGCTGCCAATGTAGCTCCTGCAACATCATTCAACTTTAGAAACACACCCTCTGGTACCTTTGGGATCATTGTCTAATGTAGTAAATATATAGTTCTTGCAGCAGTGATCCTGGATAAATAATATTTCCCCCCTAAAACAAAGCAAGATGAGAGAGAGAGAGAGAGAGAGAGAGAGAGAGAGAGAGAGAGAGAGAAGAGAAGAAGAAGAAGAAGAAGAAGAAGAAGAAGAAGAAGAAGAAGAAGAAGAAGAAAGAAAGGAAAGAAAGAAAGAAAGAAAGAAAAAGAAAGAAAGAAAGAAAGAGAAAGAAAGAGAAAGAAGAAAGAAAGAGAAAGAAGAAAGAAAGAAGAAAGGAAAGAAAGAAAGAAAGAAAGAAAGAGAAAGAAAGAGAAAGAAGAAAGAAAGAGAAAGAAGAAAGAAAGAAAGAAAAAGAAAAGAAAGAAAGGGGAGCCACAGCTGAATGTGGTGGTGTAGGCCTCTGGGGGGCTGAGGCAGGCAGATCACAAGTTTGATCCCCAACCTGGGCAACTTAGTAACTTTGTGAGATGCTATGTATCTCACAATAAAAAGCACTGGATGAGGCAGGCATCACAAGTTTGATCCCCAACCTGGGCAACTTAGTAACTTTGTGAGATGCTATGTATCTCACAATAAAAAGCACTGGGGATGTAGCTCAGTGCAGGGGTTCTGAATTCTATCCCTAGTACGGCAAGCCAAATAAACCAAGTAAACAAAAGTCCAGATGGACCTGGCCCAAACCCAGTCTTCTGAGGCATTCATGCACCTACTGGAGACTTCAGCGTCATCATGAGTTTCATGACTCAATGACTGACTAATTACTAAAAGTTTCTGGCTCACAAGTATAAAAATAGTTTCCTACTTCCCAAACATTATATTCTTAAAAGCTTGTCTGTAATGTAGATCAGGAGTAAATAAAATGTGACTGAATGCTTTTCTCTACCTGGAGTATCATCCCAATGTTTTCACTTTTAATAGCTGCTTAAATATGTCAAAATCTATTTAAGTTCAGACAAGCACAACTAACGTCCAAGTCAATTCTTTAAAACTGGAATGACTGGATTTGGGTGATACTTAGTAAATTTGTGCTTACGTTTTTTTCTGAGCAAATGAACTGAAATAATAATAAAATTGAAACATTTTATAAGGTGACACTGCTGCATTTAATTGTCTGAAATTTACAGTGTAGAAAATGTAATCATTTTATTCAGTAGTCCATGGTGTAATTAAGGCTATTCTTTTGAGGTATTGTGTATTTATGATTTTCCTTTTCACCTGGATGAGATATCTCAAATTCAAAATTATACATCAATTAGGCATATTCTCAGGATTATTTTTAAGGATTTTATTTCATGATATCCTGTGTAGCTTGATTTTTTTTTTAAATCCCCAGGAATGCTTTTGCAATCAATAATGTGGAGACAAAAGCAGGTGCAGACGGTTCTTTGGACTTTTTCCATTTTACTGGGAAGGGGACCACACATGATGAACCACAATTTAATAATAATGTTGCCGCACATAGTGTGTGATGTGCAGTAAAGATCCTTTTAAATTCCCATCAGAGCACACACCATGAACTGTGCTAATGGATGCAACACATTTTACAAAATCTGCATGTGTGAGGCTTTTCCATCCTGTTTTAAGTAGGGCAATGTATATAAATAATAGATATTAGCAATTAAGCATCCACTCCTATGCACTCATTTGTACATTTGAAGATAAATTAACCACAAACTACATGAAAGTGAATACAGTCTTCTCTTTTCCCTTCTGTTTTCCCTGCTGTTCCTGAAAGATATTTCTGTATTTATCTCAGTACAAACAATGACCCCAGTTCTCAATTTTTGCATCCTTAAATTAATTACTATCAAAAATTCTCTAAAATGGAGCAAGGCTGATTTAACTCTTGATTTCCTCTGTCTTTGCTGTTGAGGATAGATGATGAGAATTTTGTGTCACTATCTGTGGTCCTTACTTGGGTTTTCTACTCTCTTTTGTGCAGGTACCAAAAGCTCTTCCCTCACTGGGGAAATTGTCATGAGGGGAGCAAAGCATGGTGGTTTCTTACCTGTGCCATCAGTTTAAAACCTGAACTTCCTGGGTTACACTGGCCTCAATCCTGGCCTTTAGAAAACAACTTAATTTTAACATTTGCTCCCTTGTGCTTTTGAACTGAGTAACGTGTTAATTTGGGGGCCCTTGAGTATTTTAATGGAGTAGTCATTTTGGCCTTTCCCTGAGAACACAAAGGTTCAGATCTCATGCTAGTTGGCCTGCCCTTCTTCTCCCAGGATCCCTGATGGGATAGACTGGAGCGATTCTTGGGGACATTGTTTTTCTCTACAGGTTTATACAAGAGAAATTCCCAATTCTGGGGCCATTAGCCTAATGCCCAAGATGAGCAACATCTGTGGATCATCAGCGTGAACTAGTGAAATGCTATAGTGTCAGAATGCTTTTGCAGAGAACCCCCCCGCCTTGCTTGCTTTTGGCATTAATCTGTACAAAAGCTAGAAATATGAGCATCATCCTTGATGGGGGCTATAGTGTATAGGCAAATGGTAGCCCAAAGATACAACACTGGGAACATCTTGGGCTCCATACAATAGATAGAGTGAGTTATCAACAGTGAAAATTTTAGAAATGTCACATTACAATCCTAACCTTTGGCTATTCTTTGAAAACGTCGAGGCAACTCTGAGCCTATTTTTCCTCTGGCAATAATAGTCTGGTGGAACTAGGCAAAAGCAGTGACCCTTAGACATACACTCTTCGGTCCTCACCAGTCTCTGTTGTTCATTTCCATTTACTTCATTATTCACGTTCTCTACTAAGCAACTACAGGCAGTCAAGTCTGTACTTTCTAATCTACAACGACCGTGGCAACATTTGCACAGGAAACAATACTTACAGCATGTTGGAAGGCTTCTCTGTCCTTCCTAAGACTTTAGTTACAGACTAACCTAAAATTTACTTTCTACTATGTGCCAATTTCTGTCCTGGTTGCTTTATGCTTGTTATTTCATGCGATCCTCAGAACGCCCCATGGTGGGTTTTTAGTCTTACTATATAACTGAGAGACTGAGATTCTAAAATGGCTAAAATGCCACAGACAAAAATGAAGCTTGCACATTTCTGTTGTAAAACTTAACTTCAGAGGCAAGCACTAAACTAATATGACCCCGAAGGTGCTTTTATAAAAAGTTTACTTAATTTTTTTCTCTTATTTTTAAAATTAAATGTGAATTGAAATTCAGATCAGGAACAATCATATCCCATTACATTTTCCTCTCACAAACTCCAGGACTTCTTTAAATGCAAATGTGTATATCGAATGTTACAGAACTCACGAGTGGCTTACATTTCCCATAAAGGTCATTGCACAGTTAACTGAGTTACATTTCATATGGCATAGTGTGGAGTCCACAGTTTTAAGCTTGATTGTGATTGTTTAGCATCAAGTCAATTTGAAATTGGCTTTGCAAATGGAGTGTCTCTTGATGTCATATACAGCATGGTTTGGTCTAGATTTGCACTGATCAGAATGCCTAGAAAGTGATACTACCTAGAGAAACTAACACTTTTTCAGAGATTGCTAATGGAAGAATTTTGTATAGTCTGTATTCCTGTGTTCCATATTTTAATACAGTTCTACTCTGTCTTCTTCTGTCTTCCTAGAGCCACAAGCTGAATAGTTCCGTATCTAAGAGGAGTAAGAAGTTTGCCACATTTCTTTATCTGCTTCACAGCTCCGTACAAGAATGATTCTGCCCTCCCTACTCAAGCTATTTAAAACACATTGCCTCTGATTCCCTGTTTTGAGAGCAAACAATCTGCCAAGCACCTCATAACTGCAAAGTGACCTTGACATGTGTCACTCACCAGGGTTTTCAAATGGAAGTCATCCTGTTTAATATTCATAAAGTCTTTTTTTTTCCTAACAGCATATGTGGTGATTTTACAGGGGTTGGGGGTTGGGAGCTTTATTTAGAGATGGGTGGAATTCTGAGAAACATACCATCAGTGTCTCTCTGATGAACTGAAGTATCAGTTTGGAGGTAGGAAAATTTCGTTTGGCATTCTTCAAGGGAGGGCAGTGATGTGCTGGATTCTGACAGTTTTTTCTCATTGGGGGTTTCCTTGGCTGGTCCATCTGTGATATTGAATTCAGATACTGAATTTATAACGATAGCATTAATGGGTTTCTCGTCTGCATGCTTTTCATTTGTGAGTTGCATATCTAGATAAAAAAAGAAAACACATACACAAACACACTGGAGTTTACCTAGTGATCTAAGAGTGGAAATTCACAGAAAAATTCACATTACAGATTTGATAAAAATAAAATCTTATTAAAAGGAATGAAGCACTATTGATCAGAATAATTATGAAGAAACATAAGAAGAGTATAATGATAAAACCTTATTCATGTTACGTTTTGCCCGTAATATTAATCTGTAATATGCATTCTTACTATAGTTTTTTTTTTATGAGTAGGACAGTCAAGGAATTCATTTACTTGGATCCAAAACATCTCAGAGTATGCTGTTCACATTCTTTCCTAGTGTGGCATGGATCTGAGAAGCAGGAAAGAGGTCTTAGTACTGGGATGTATGGCTGAGTAATTTTCATGATTTCAATCATGTCACCTTGTTTTTTTTTGTTTGTTTGTTTCTACAAACATCAGCTTCCTTCATTTTAAGAGAAGAAGGGGATATAGATGAATAGTCTATAAACTCATTCCAACTTCTACCTCAGTGATACTGTGTTGCTACCCTTTTCTCAGGCTCAGGTAGCTGCCAACTTGGCACTGGGGGGAGTGCACTTCTTGGGAACATGCTTTATTCTATGTAATTATCGGGCACGGTTGTTAGAGATGTTGAGAGCACTTCTGGCAAAGCCCCTGGCCAAGACTGGTTTTTGACGAGGCATAGGAAATGCTGAGGAGGCCCACATAATGCATGTATTTTAGAGCTCCTATATTCATACCAGCATGCTACATAATTGGCTGACCGTTACTGTTAGGTACTGAGTGTTTGGGTGCAGTGATGACCGAAATGGGAATGGTTCCTGACCTTCTTAAGCATCCAAAGAGTTAGCAGAAGTGACTGCATATGCTGCAGTACTTAGGAATGCGTGAGAGAAGCGTCCGTGAAGGCTTGTTAGGGAGAGGACCAGACTGAATGGGGCTGCCCTTAATCTGTGACTTACCCAATAAGTAGAGTCCTAAGATGAGGAAAAGAGGAAAGTGAAGGTGGTATTCTCAAAAATGCAGGTGGGCTGACTCCCAGGGACATTTTAAGACCTAAATGGGCAACAGTCATGGTGATTTGGCAGTATTACTGGGTGGGTGTAAAGATGTGTTCTGGGGAATTGCATTCCTATAGCTACCCATTGCCTGGCTAATTCAACAGGCCTCACTGACTGAGATATATGATTGACCACCTGGTCTGATTTTACCATGTTTATCCAGCTCTATACAAGAAATGTGTCTTGCTAAGTTCATTTCCTTGTCTATTATAAAACTGCTTCTTCATTTGGGCCAAATGAAAATCTCTACTTGGTTCTAGGGCAGTGGTTTTCAGACTTTTCTGGAGAGTAGAATCACCTGAGAAATCTAAAAATTTGGAATTTTGGCAGTTCAGGCAACTTCTTCCCTGGCAGACTAATTAAATCACACTCCCTGGAGGATGTTTGAAACACCCAGGTGACTCCAAAATGCAGACGAGTTTGGGACCCCCTCCTCCCCATTTCCTACTCATGAGAGTGGCAGAGAGGAGAAAACCTCCTATAGACTTGTGAGTCAGTGATTCTCAGAAACCAGTCAATGGGAAGGTCACTCTCTGAAGGCTCTGAACCGCCACCAGACTTAACAATCTTACATGTAGTCATCTTAGGCCATTTTTGTTTCTTTCTGGTTTTTCAAACAGCCTTAGTTTTTACCAATGTTTAATCTTATCCCTTTCCCATATGCTTCTGGCTTTAAGTCTCTTGGTCGGGGTTTAATCTACCCTAAAAGAGGCTGGCAAAAATAGGAGTTCAAGGAAACATCTATTGTTGACAGCAATTAATGTACTACTGCATACTGAAGTAGAATTGGTCAACAGATTGAGAAAATGCTTCTAGCCCAAGAGAGGTTCACCAAATTAATGGTACAGTGATCATACTGAAAATAATAGCTCCAGGTAATATTACAAAGAGTGAGCATAATGCCTTAGTCCACTTACAGCAGTATTGATACTTGGCCAGATAATTTTTTCTTGTTTTGGTCCTGGGGAGGGAGACTATAGGATCTTTAGCTGTATCCCTGTCCCTTACCCACTAGACACCAACAGCACCTATCCCCATGCATTGTGACATCTGTAGGCATTGTCATATTTCTCCTGTGAGACAAAATCACCAAGCTGTAAATCACTATTTACACTATTGTGTGTTGCATGTACTTTAATCCCAATTCTCCTGCCACTTATATACCTTGTTGGACATAAGCATCCCAAAGACAGATGTAGGTGCCCTTAGCATCCTTGAACAGAAAGTAAAAGTCAAAGTTTGTATCCCTCCAGTTAACAGATAAATGAGACTAATCAAGGCCTAGAGCACTTATTTAGATAAGTTGCTCGAAGATCCTTCTTTGGTCAATCTTAGAACCGGTATTCAAACCTAGCATTAGTGAATCCCATCAGCTTACTTCTTATTTTTCAGATTATTCAACCTATTTCTCGCTTATTCTTAGCTTCTTAACCACTGAGACTTCACATCATCAAAATCCTCTGCACCCTAAATCCTGAGACGTGTCCCCAAATGCAGTCTTGAAAATAACTTAGCTTGAGTGGTATTTACAGGTAGAACAGCTTACACGCTCAGGGAATCCTGCCAGTTCAGCTACAGCTGTTTTGTACCCTGCGTTAAGCAGCAGTTCGGAATGACTTGATAGAAACGAAACCTTGATGAGCATAGAGATTGCAGCAACTATGTACTTAACAGATTAATTAACAATCAGTTCAAATGATCACACTTAACTGGGCTGCATGTAATTTAAATTGCTTCGGCACAAAGTAATTCAGTAACAAAAAAAGTTGGATAGAGGTTACTGGGATGTATGAACATGCAGAGAATATAGTATAAAGCCAAGTGATACACGATTCTCTTTTTAATTTTGTAACAATTTTAACTATAGCATTTGAATGTAAGTGGTGTGCTACATTAAGCAACCATTTGGAGCACACTAAGCTTGTACAGAGGGAATTTTATGGAGAAGTTGAACTGCCATTCATAAAGTTATTTTAATTCTGTATCTCTGTTTATATTTTTATTTTTTTTCATTCCCCAGTGTCAGCTATCTGTTGCTCATTAAAAAATCATCTGACATACACACATTTCAGAACCAGTCTGTTCAACCCAGAATCCTGACATCTGAAGTGAGTCACAATTTTTGGTGAATGTTACTGAAATCTTCCCTTTTTTATAGATGGGGCACTAACAATAATTCCCCTAGATTCTTGCCTTTATGGTGTTGCTTGACTTTGTATCCAAAATATTATAAAGTAGCATAAGCTAAAACGAGAAGCACATAAAAAATGGTATCACATCTTCTGCAGAGAAAACTATTGTGGAATTAAGGAACTTGTGAAACTATATTTGGGTTTGTTATACATAGTTCTTGACATTAACTCAGAGGAAATAATTTTTAACAGAAAAAATTAGGACAAAAATTAGGATCTCATCTGTAGTTCTTAGAAAAGAATTAAAGTATATCTTGAAAATCATTGAAATAGAAAATTCATGTTTGGGTTAGAAGTAATTGCAAGAACCAGTGGGCATAAACTAAGTAACAGAAAGATAGACAGTTAATTAATTTTTTATTACTGCTGTGCAAATGTTATTAATTTAATTCAATTAACATTTATTGAGTGCCCAGACGCAATCGATGAATCACTGTGACAGGAGCTATTCATTTATTTACTGTAAGTTATTAAGGAAACATTTTAATGCTTTTTATTTTTTGCTCACTAAATGTGACTTTGTAATTTCTTTATCCATATATTCTCTATTTGAGTTTTTATAGATATGACACTAGAATTACGAATAAGTCGCATGGGTCCTCTGCTTCTATTCTTGTTTGTGCTTTTCCTTTCTCTTTCCCACTTCTTTTCCCTTTCCCCTCCTCCTTTGCCCACCCCTTCCCTTCCTTTATCTTCCCTTCTTACCCTCATCTTTTTGCCTTAGTTGTCTTAGTGATTTGACCTCTTTTATCTGCTTCCTTTTTCCTCTTGCTTCTTCAGTATTTTATTCTCTAAGACTTGCTTATTCATTGTCCTTTCTTTTTACCCTACCCTCAGAAATCGTATTTGTTCACATTCATACCTTAGTTCTTTTCTTTGTGAAATTGTTCTCTAAATCTAAAAAAACCAGCCAACCAGCTGCCAGCCAGACAACTTTTACTAAGCATGAACTCCCTGCCTGGTTCCCCTGCTAACCACTGAGGAAGTCAAAGAAAAATAATGACTAGTCATGATTAAGAGGCCTCCAGTCAACACAATTTGCAATCTCACACTTGTTCCTGACCATTAGGTATTTTATAGGGGTTGCCAGCCAAATCTTTTGTGTTTACATCTTTTTTGCTAAACTCTTTATTCTTCTTCCGAACTGGATAAGACTGGCTATTACCTGGAGAATCCAAAATTCAACTTCTCTTGGTTGTATTGTTGTTTTTCCAATTCCCTAGTCTTGAAAGCTATTGTTTGACTTGCCCTATCCCTCCATCAAGGTAATTAAGAGTTTTTTTTTATTCTTCTTTCTAAGTCTCTTTTAAGCTCTTGTTTTTATCATTTCCATCCTTTGCATCTTCAAATCTGGATTCTGTGGGCAGTCATCAGACTCCACATGGTGATAACTCTCTTTAAGATGTTTCACACACTACATTCAAGATGATATTTTGAACCATATTCTTCTGGTCATATTACTCATAAAACAAAAGTGAAGTAAAACATAAATACACTGTCTTGCACACACATAATATATGTTAATAGCTCACTATTACCTGAATATTTTCTCATGCTCTTGTTCTCAATTAATTTACCAATTCTACTGCTCTCCAAACAAGTAGCTTGTTGCTAACATTTTCTTTGGAGTGATAAACTCCAAGAACATATATGGATATTTTTAGATAAGCCTTTAAGGCAGAGTGATTTTAATTTTAGTTCAAGATCAAAACATTTAAAGTGAGTGTGTATTTCAAATGTATGGGCCATTTTTAAAACTATATGGATGAATTATATCTTCCCATGCATTTAAACTATGCTGTGGCTTAGAATTTAGTGCTGTAATTATCTTTGGTTGATATCAGATCAAGGCAGACAAGTGACATTTCAAGGTATAAGCCGTAAAACCATTAACAAATTATTATGGTTAGTAAAAGTAGTTAATGGAAATGACACTATACAGGAAAAAAAGTTACTTTTAAATATGATAATTTTAGAAATTTTAGAAATGATTTTTTTGTTGTTAGAATATATGCCTATATTCTCCACAACTTCATAGAAAACACAAGTATACAAAATTGTTTAGCACGATTAAGCATGATAAAAGTTATTAGAAGGGTCAGATCAACCTTTCTAAATGTGCATATCACTATTATCCTTATATTTGGAAAATGGATTACTGTAGCTAAAGACAGAAAACATTGGGAAGGTAAGGATTCCTGAGCATCGATAAAAGCAAAATAAAAAGTAATTGATAACTCAGAGAAGCTATATTTTCAAGAAGACCATATTTGCTTTTGTGAAAACTGAATGCTAATGCTGACAGATAATTTTCCTTAGCTGATGTAGGCTTCTTAAAGTATCGTCACCTTTTTGAACTGAATAAAAGTAAGTAAGCACAGAATATTCAGCCTGTTAGATGGATAAAACAAAACTTTAAGTTCATTAAATCTAACACTTTGGGAGAACAAATAAATATATTAGACATGTTTTTCTGTAATTTTCAAATGTCAGCTCTGGCTGAAAGATGTCCTTTAATGGCTTTCAAGTTAAAGTAGTAGTTTTAATATCATTGTCTTGATTTGTCTTCTGTAGTCCTTCAGTTAAGACTTAGCCTCAAAACTGGCAGATGAAATGTTTATCGAGGACTATGGCAGGACCACATTTTAAGCCTTTTCAATCAACCTTAGTAAATCTGTTCTGAAAATTGGGAAACGGCAAAGGTTTATTATTTCTCCAGAAATAATAGCAGTGAGTGTTGAAGGTGAAAAGGATTAAAGGGAAAGAACTGAGTATGGAAGGTGGACGAGAGTCCCCTCCCCTGGCTTCCTGACACCGGAAAACAACTTCAGTCCTTTGGGATTGAACTGTTTTGTTGTTATTTTGCTTTGATTTTGTTTCTTTTTGGCCTGTCTCTTCCATGTAATCACACCACTAGCCTTTGTACCTTTATCGGCTAAGAGATATACTTTTATAGCCAGATCACAAGCTGGTAACAAGGAACATTTCACTCCCAAGAGATGCTTGAATCTTCTTCAGACACGAAAACCTTTTGCAATTATTAGTCTCCATTTCATTTTTTTACAGATACCTTCAATTCATGTTTATACAAAGTGTCTCAGGACATAACGATTGTTACTCGAGGAAAAAAATTGATTAGCAGTTTTTATAGTTTGATGTACTTGGATTAGTAAAGGTTTAGGGCTCTGAAATAATGAAGTCTATCAGGCTGTAAACTCATGCAGCATTGGAATTACATGTACAGTTGGTTTTTCATTTTTTTTTCTGCCAACGTTTAAATGTAAAGTTAAAATTTACCAACTAATTACTTTAAAAAAGTCTCTATTATGTTAAAACTTCTACAATTTATTCATTCCAACTATTGGAATGTCACTTAAAGTCTCTTAAGTACATTAACACATCTGAAGCTTACACACACTTTGCAAAACACGTACAGTGGTACTGGTACGTGAGTGAGGAAGTGGATGAATGTTTTAGTGTTTTCCCAAGATGACCCAGCCAGTAAGAGAGAGACCTACCCCTTGAATCTTACTGATGTCTTCTAATCCCTGTGGCCATCAAACTTTACATCTCAACAGCCTTGGAAATCAGGGACTCTCTGTGGATTAACTCTTTTTCCTCCTGATTGTCCTCCTCTTGGTTAACTGCTCTGGCTTTGAATTGGAGACACCAATATGTGTGCTCATGGCAGAACACCTATTTGATAAATAATGATTAACTTCCAACCCTATCCCTCCAGTCCAGGGCAAGAATCTTCTTACAGGAGTCCCTGTCTGTGACCCCAGTAGAAATGAACAGGCCAGCCTCAGAGGTCAGGAC